TAGCTGAAATTGTCTCTCTGATCAGAAGACATCTATGTTGTGTCCTTATAGGTATGTCTTCTCCTTGACTATGGACACATATGAAAGAATTTTGCTCCATAGAAGTATGGGTTTCCTTTTCAAAGGCAGAAACTGCTTAATGTCTGTCCTGTTCATCAAATTACTTTGCTCCTATTTTGTATGCTTGTTGAAATACACGTTTCTGCTCCAATGCTGCTTCCCAGCCCCGGACTATGTGCGCTTTGTCTTCTTTCCTTTTCTGTATTTTCCAGCAGTTTCTTCTCCAGGTTTATGTCTCTGAGTCCCATTCCACTCAGAACACGATTTCACAGACCCTCTGGAAGTGTTTAAGTTTCATTTAACGCAGACAACACTATTGTTTATCTTTTTGCTGATATATTTTAGGATCTTTATTCTTCCAAATACAAGAGTTTATATTAAGAAGTTAGCCTGGAAATAAGACCTTAGCCCAATAACAATCATGTTCTTGTCAGCTATTCAACATGCCCAGCGTCACCTAACAAGCAATGTTAAAAAAAATTCGTCTGTTGTAAAAAATGAAAAACAAGAGCTTTCTTGGAAATTTGTATGATTTATGATTTCTTACACGCAAAAATAATTTTTAAAAAGATTAGAAAGACATTGCCTGAAATAAATAAACTAAATTCATAACAATTTTCCTGATGCTCCTTTGTGGGTATAACAATTTGCACAATGACTCTTCATTGTCATCCTGTTCCTGTGTTTAAAAGTAAGTACATTTCTGAAGAGTCTGGTCCTCAGTGTGATACTCCTGGGCTGCATTTTCTCATTATTAAGGATATTTAGGCAACTCAACATCAGGGCCCCAGTGCCTCAGAAAAGAGCAAAATGTTCAAAAATTTAAAACTGTCTTCACTATTTATCTCAGATCATGGAACCTTTTGAGGTATTTCTTTCCTTGTAAGCATCGCGGCTCAGGCTTCCTATTTTTCCCCATCCCAAGCCAAAATTCTGGTAGCAATGACTCCTTTAACTGGGTTTTCAGTGGAATAAACACGTAACACAATAAAATAACCAGTGACTTCATAATTTGGGGAATTACGTTTTAAAGGGTTTTTTTTCCCCCTTTGGAAACCTTTTACAAAAGATTCTGAAAACAAGTTGCAAAGGAGACTGTAACTTTCCTGATCATGAACACCAGTGTCATTTCTTTCCCTTCCCTTCTCTCCAGAAAGTACCCTTCTTTTGTCCCCTGCGTCCTTTGTCACAGACTACTACTCAGGAGTTTGAGATTTCTCCTTTTTTTTTTACAGGCAGGTTCTACAGATTAGTATCTTTGATCCTTGTAGCAAACATTGGAATCCAGAGAAAACCCCGCCTATTTATGATTAATTCCCTGCAGTCTGGAATACTTCCTAATGTCTAACAGATCTGTGGCAAAAGCCAAATGTCATTTCACAACAGAACTCCACCCTAGGCCACAAAGTGGTTCTTAGCTGAGATCAAGCCATGCAAGTGTGAAAACCCCAGGTCCACATCTGATTACAGCAGATACATGGGAAGTATGAATGGGACTGGCCAGATGCTGCACCATATGATAAACACCAAGGACCATGGTATCCTATAAAACTGGGCATTTATATGGTACATCTGGCTATGCATAATCTTCTCCTAATTTATAAGGCTGGAGCATCTGGTTCATTGCTGTTGCTCTATCAGCTTTTCTGGAGGCCTGTTCTTGAATTTCTGGTAACTGAATATTGCTCTTCTGAGTGCCAGCGGCATGGGAAGTTAAATCCATTTATAGTAGGAGATCAGCTCTCATTCTCTCTGGCAGATCAGATAGGTTCAAGCAAAGTCATGAAAGACATAAGGGTAGGCCCTTGTGGGAGGGGTTCCACTTAACAACAAAATCCACAACTGCAAACTCTAAAAGAAAAATATCTATTTCTTACTGGCAGGACCCTCAGCCGTGACAGAGACGCTCGGCCAGATGAGGCCACTGTGACAGGCTGTGGCCGTCACTGCAGACATCCCTCAGCAGTGTGGCAGGTGAGAGCTCACAGAATAGGTCTCAATTTCTGCGTTTGTTACACTGCTTGATCTTTCCCTCCTAGTGCCATGGCCCTAGAAGTCAGCATTTCTCTCTTTCCTGAAACAGAAGCTGTTACCTGGCACTTGGCTCTTGGTTAGAAAATACCTTCTGTGTAAGTGACTAAAAAAACAAGAGACAAGTGTTCTCAGCTGGGTCTTGAAAACTTTTTGCGAGAAGGAGCCAAGCCAACAATGTGAAAGCATCCTGAACTGAATGGGGTGCACATGCACAACCCCCTGTGCAGCTGTGTGCCAGCCTGGGCAGTTCTAGAGGTGTGGACCCACAGCAAATGGTTTGCTTGTGCCCATGAGGAGAAAGAGAAAGGAGGGCTAGAACTCACTCTTCCAGGTATTTCCAAACTGACTTGTCAGCAGGAAAATCCTAGCTATAGTTAAGAGAACTCTTGCTCCATTCCACCCTTGTGGAGTTGTAAACAGCAGTGCAGCATTCAGTCTAAGGCACAAAAAGTAGTTTTTTTAAGTTGCAGCATTACCAAGTCCTTCTAGAAGGTGTGAGTCCAGATCACTCAGCCTTAGGGGAGGAAAAAGTGCAGAAACAATCATTCTATCAAAACCTTCCCCAGTAAAATTACATGTCAGGACAGCACTGAAAGAAAATTTGCATTTCAAATGGAAAGGGAAAATTTGCCTTTGCAGAACATCATGGGGTTGGCAGTAATAAATCATGGTACTGTCAGAATGGAAGTGGGTTCCTGCAACTCTTGCACTGCTTTCTGTAAGCCTGTGTTGTTGCTGAGGAAGTGAAATCTGGTTAGCCCACAACTTAGCACACCACTGTGCAAGACTTCTTCAGATCTTTTATTGCTTTTCCCAGCATTCATGCTGCACATTTTTGATAATTTTATCAAATTGAAAAAAATTCAGATTTCAAATATTTTCATAGACCCACAGCATGGCAGCTGCTCTATTTCTAGCTGGGTCTGAATGCTTCAGGTACTCCTATGCCTCTTTTTTTTTTCTTTTTTTTTTCTTTTTTTTTTTTTAATGTTTTCTATAAAACACTTTTATTCTCTGCATCTGACATAGGTACAGTATCTGGAATTGTCAGAATCTGTTCTCTGATAAAGCTTTATCTTTGTGTAACAATAGCAACATGAGCTGCCCTAAGGAAATAAATGAATTTGAGAAAGAACTTAAACTACTACAGATACTGTTTTCAGGCTGTGATAACCCACTGCTGAAATACAAGATAGACTGTTCCTTAAGTGTTTGCCTGGACAGGTTTTCTGGCCAGTGCAAGACAGGTAGCAGGATCTCGCACTTGTCTTGGCACCAGGTATTACACAGAAATTTAAAGTCTTGCTTGTCAAAAAAAACTTACCTAAACGAAGATACTGTGGATATGAGTTGCAAAGCAACTGGAAGAATTGAGAAAGGAGCAAAAAGGGAAATGCAGTGAAAGAAACCTGATTTTATGGACTAGATGTGTGGATATGGCTGGATGTCTGCAAGCCTAGTTGTTCAAATATACCATGTATTATAATCAGGTGGGGGAAATATTTATTATGTGATGACCTCTTTTATTCTGTTAAAGGCAGAGTGACCAGCACTAACTTCCTTAAACACAGCCTCTTCCCAAATGCCTGCTGCCAGCATCCTGAAGCAGCTCTCAGCTCTGGTGCCTCCAGGGGTGGTGCTAGTGACAGACCATGAAAAATGCTTTGGATTTGGCTTCAGAGAATTCAATGTCTCTTATTTAAACTGAATTGATCCACCTTTGTGTATGTGAATTAAGGGAAAAGTGGATAGTGATTATGTAGCTTGGACCTCCATTTTTTCCAGGGCTTTCTTTGCCCTTTTGTGTCTGGGCCACTCTCACCTCCTCTCATTTAATCGGCAACAACACAACATAGTTAAGGACTGAGATTTTTGTTACTTACAGACCTTGCAGATCTGCAAAAGCTATTTCACCCCTCCCTCCTGGAGTGGCTTAGTGAGTTCCTGCCAGACCTTGCCCAAGCAATTTTTTCCCTTGTATGATTAAGGGCTAAAATAATCAGAAATCCCAGGTAATGGTCAGCATTCAGTCATCATTTACTGTGAAATGGCGAAAACAGAGGTCACAGAATCACAGAATTCTTAGGTCTGAAAGAGACCTCTGGAAATCATTCAGTCCATCCCCCCTGCCCCGGCAAGGCTACCTAGGGGTGACACAGGAATGTGTCCAGGTGTGTTGGAATGTCTCCAGAGAGGAAAACTCCATGACCTCCCTGGGCAGCCTCTTTCAGTGCTCTGCCACCCTCAGTGGAAGGAAGCTTTCCCTCATGCTGAAGTGAAAAGGGGTGCTCCAGACCCCTCATCATCTTTGTGGTTCCCCACTGGGCCCTCTCTAGTCACATCTTGTATTTCTTGTACTGAGGAGCCCAGAAGTGGACACAGCACTCCAGATGTGGCCTCACTAGGGCTGAGTAGAGGGTCAGGACCATCTCCCTTGACCTGCTGGCCTCACTCTTCCCAATGCAGCCCAGGATACACTGGCCCTCCTGGCCTCAAGGGCAGTGCCAGCTCATGGTCATCCTCCAAGACTCCCAGGTCCTTCTCTGCCAATCTGCTCTCCAGGAGGTCAGTCCCCAGCCTGTGCTGCTACTTGGGGTTATACCTCCCCATGTGCAGGATCCTACACTTGGCCTTGTTGAACCTCATTAAGTTTCTCTCCACCCAATTTTCCAGCCTATCAAGGTCCCACTGAATGACAGCACAGCCTTCTCGTTTATCAGCCACTCCCCACAGTTCTTTTTCATCAGCAAACTTGCTGAGGGTCTCTTTCCTTTAACTGTCTTTCACTGAATGGAAGAGAGGATCTTTCCTGTTTTAGTTTGCATTCATTCCTGGCTAATCACATACCGGTTTCACAATGAGAAATATTATGTTGAGGGCCCTACAAAGACGCTGTGAGCATGGAATTACTCCTGTATTACACATTTCTTATTTTAAAGGAAGGATGCTTTTTTTCATTGCTGTTGTAATCATTGTAGAAAACGTAAAATATCTGAAACTTCTATTTTATAGATAGTATTTTAATTTCAAGACCTAAAATACAAAACCCCTAGAAGCAATCTTAAGGATATTTCCGCAAAGACTTTTTCATGGTTTTATTTTTATATTACAAGTCTTGTTACCTTTGAAAATGCAAATATATACCATCATAAATTGTAATACAGGACATACTCCTTGACCTTCATGTAGCATAAAAGGATTGTGATCAAATAATCAAATAATTTAATGCAGCAAAGGTTAGTTTAAAAAGTATCCAAGTATGTATTCCAGACATAGCAGATGTTGATTTACAGCTGGACCTGTGATGGAAGGCATCTTCTGCCATTATCCCTGTAATGGGGAAGAGAAAGAGAATTGCTGCTGGCATGTGCATTTAAGCTGGGTGGTATTAAACTGAACTGACATTCAACACATGCCATTCACCTTCATCTGTCCTGTCCCTCTGCAAATTGTTTGGAAGTCCAGCTCTAACCTGAGTTTCCAGCTCTTTACAGTACAGGCCAAGCAAGGAAAAAACGCAGGAAAGTCCCCTAGAAAGTGACTCCCTCCTTAGCCTAAACCCAGTGACCAAAACTCAAGAGACTCCAAAGATATGTATCACATTATGAAGCAGAAGAAAGGAAAACTTCTATGGTTTCAGGGTAAGGAACTGAGATGAGAAGCCCAGGTTAAAACTGACACTTTTCCAGTTTTCCTTTCTTACGCCAAATCTGAGCCTGCTAAGGCTAATTCCAATGAAGTCAAGTTTGGATTAGGTCTTTGTACTCTCTGTGCCTTTGTACCTGCAAGGCAGGATTGATAGCACATCTTTTGGCTAGGCATATGATATGTGACAATAGCCTAGTGATTGATGTAAGTAAAAACCCGATTTTTCAGATCAGCTAGTGGAGATAATTCTTGCATTTTGGCCCACAGGAACTCATGACATTTGATAACTGAAAACACTACACTAAAGAGTGTCCATGAAAAGGGGACAGGCTCATTTTAATTAATCCATCACATCAATTCCTGAGCAGAAAAGGCTGGCAGAGCTTGCAGGAGAATTGCATGTTAATAAAGTTGGAGGTCACTCATTTTTCTAGTTAACTATTAGTTGACAAAAAAGCATTTATGAAACCCATGCTATGTATAACTATTTAACTATACTATGTGCAACTGTTTAAAGAAAGGGAAGAAGCAGATATTTCTGAGGACAGTGCCAGCATGCAAATGATTATCTATCCCATTCCTCTGATCATCTTGGCCTTGTCATTCTTACCTGATGTGCATCTGAGATTGTGTAAGTATTCCAGCTCATATTGTCATGACACTTTTTTCTCTACTTTTGGAGAGTGTCTGCCTTTGGTAAGGGGATAGATCTTGACTTCCAGAGTAATCTCCAGTTTCAACCAGTGACTTACCTGTCTCAGAGGTGCCAGCCCTGTCACTGCAGCACGGTGCATTGCCTGCTGCTGTAGGCACTGCTGTGGTCCAGCAGTGGCATGTACATTTTAGCCACGATGCAGTAGCTGACTCCAGGCCTCAAATCTTCTATTTTAACAACCTTGTCTTTCCCTTCATACACCAGGACTCTGTGTTGCTTCATAGAGAGTGGAAAAAGAAGAGCCAGTCAAGCACATTTCCCTAGCAAATGTGTCTGTGAGTAAAGCTTGATGAGAACAGAGGATGCAGAACAGCACAAGAACTTACACAAACTCAACAGCATTAATAACTTATTTATGCTTTTTAAAGAAAATTCCCTTCCTCCCCCAAATTCCTCTCCTGTGCTAATTTTTTTAACTAGGTCATAGATTATGAAGTATTAAGTTGATGGAAAATAATACAGGGACAAATTACAAATCAATTCAATCAAATTCAATTCCTGAAAAATAAGCCTACTTTGTTTTCAAGCACTTGCACAGTCATTGCTGCTCCCACAATCCCTGAAGACTGCTTCAACAGCAAAACAAGAATGGTGTGCCCACGCTTTTCTGGCTATTCAATGGTAAAGGGTTCATATCTGAATATACTCTTACCTCATCTAGCAAGTTGTTAATTATGAAGACTTGATACAGCAGATCATAATAATTTGTCATTGGTATTTTGCTCCCTCTCTTCCTTCTATAAGGAGAACGTGGAGCCTGGAGCTTTACTGTTATGGATTTGTTGCTATGAATCACAGTTACCATTGGAGGTCCTATCATAGCTGTGGAAAAAAACCCAAAGCTATAAACACAATTATAATTTATGAATAATATTTCCTAGAATGCAATTTGAATCCATTCAACAAATGCTCATGTTACCAGCAATATATTACGCAATATTTACTCCTCAAATGACACCTTGTAAATTCTTACTTCTCAGTGTTTATTGGGTTTGGTTATTGTTATTTTGGAGGTGACATTTCCTGTGTTTGTAAATCTATCTTTGAGCCAAACTTTTTGAAATCCCTTAGAGCCGATGTTGCTATGTGCTGACTGGTCAAGCAAAATTTAAAAATTGCCCTGATTTTCTTTTTCCCTCATATTTGTCTCTGTGCTTTCTGCACAAAACATCCATTTAAACCACTTCAGCTGTGCCAAAGATGCAGTTTACGCCACCACTTTCAAATATTTTGCAATTGGCTTGGTTAAACACAGCTAAGGCTTGAAGCCAGTGCCTGCATGCACATGTGTGCAACACCAGCAATGTGGGGACATGGGCAGCAGCTGCCACATGAATCTCTCCAGGAGGAGGAGGTGCCACAGGGCAAGATGTTCTGGTTTTGCTGCAAGATACTTCTTTATGTCAAAGATTGTCTGTGCAGAAGGCTCAAGGTGGTTTGTGCTTCGGGGCTGTGGAGTGACCCACACTGACAATTTGATTTTCACTGGCCAGTGAGGGAAAATGGGTTAATTCATGGTGAACGTGCTGGTAGGTAGGCTGCTACTCTTCAGTGTTTGGACAGTCCTCCATTTCTAACATGCTGTGGCACTACAATGACAATGCTAACCAAAAGCTCTGCACATGTCCTTTCTATGTCCTTTCCTGCAGTCAGGATAACACATAAATGTGAGAAGAATAGTGGCCACACACCACACAGCAGCTCTGTTCTCTCTTCTCCCCCCAAAGAAAAAATGCTTCCTTTTTTATTGTCTTGAGTCCGGTCTTTCCAGCAGCTCCAAAAATGTCGGAAAATGATTTGTGTACTTCCATGCCCAGAGGAAGAGGTTGAATTAAAGGGATCTTTTGATCTCCTAATTACTGGTAAATGGCTATTTAGCCATAATCGCTTGGCTTTCAAGTGTGTGGAGAATTACTCTGGCAGAACGCTTCACCTGAGAGCTATTGACTCACTTCTTTATGTACAGCTTTGTGGCTAGAAAAAGATAACTTCTGTTTGCAAATTGTGAGCAGAAATGATGTGTTCCATGCCATGGAAGATCCAAATTCCTTCCAGGGGACACATGTGTTTGCACTTACTTTCTCGCCAAGGAGTAAATCTGTGGCTGAGGCTCCAGTTGGAATAGACACCAGCCAGGGCTGCTCTCACTCGGCTGTAGTAAGGCTCCTGGATGTCAGAGGTCTCATGTGTTAGGTCACAGACATGGCTTGAAATCCCCCAGCACTCATCTTTGTTTTGCCATGTGCTCTGCCCATACCTGTGGAGAAAGAGGAGGAAGGATGTAAATTTTAGGGATCACCGCCTGTGTCCATGCAGATTCTCAACCATCTGTTTTACTCTCATGGCCATGGACAAGCATCCTGCCATGGAAATTAACTGCCTTCAATTTGATAACAGGGAATGTTGATTTCATGGGTGTTTTGGAGCTGTAGGTTTCTGTCTTTCTGAAAGCAATCTAAAGCAGAGACATGGGTCACCAGCCCTGTCAGAAGCCACCTCTTATCTGCCCCATGGGAGAGGTGGGCAAGTTTTGGCTTAGCCAGTGTGTTCGCTTATGGGCAGAATGCCAGATTTCACCACTCCGTTCCTCAAGGGCAATAATGATTTCAGGAACTCACCAGTGTGCCAAGGATGGAGCAGACCCTGGAGACGATCCCCTAATGTGGCCTCAGTCTTTCCAGGCAAGGCACCCTGAGGCAGTGCTGTGGCAAGGTAGGCCACTGAAATACCTTTAATGTTCTATTACAGAATAACTTGACCTACCTAGACCTGCTTGGGGCAGGTGGCTGGACCCAGTGACTTTCAGAGGTCCCCTGCAAACTACATTTTGCTTCAAATCCCTGGTGCAATGGGAGTGCAGAGCATAGTGCTGACTTACTCCTTGCCTGCCTCGTGCTGCTTGACTGCACCTTATGGGATTGGTAAGTGCAGAAACAACTGAGAGCTGGCAGCCAAGCAGGACGTGGCTGTTCCCCCAGAATGAGAACCTCCTGTCACCTGAGAAGTCATTTTAGCCCCAGCAGGGCTAAGCCCCAGCACAGTGGGAGGCTCTGGTACTTACACTTTATACTGCACAAAGTAGAGCGCATCTCTCGCCTCTCTGGCCCACCCAGGCTGCCAATGCAAAGTGGTGTTGAAATTTAACGAATGGAACTCTACCTTCTGTGGCTTAATCGAATCTTGCACGTCTTGGTTTTCCAAAACTAAAAGCGCTGCAGATAAGAAGGAATGATAACATAAGGTGCTTGTCACAGACACACTCCTCCACATTGTAATCAGAGAGTATTGTTACAGACCATTTTTTCTTTCATGACTAGCAGACCACAGGGAAATTAAATCTCCTGGATCTCACATTCAAAACCTTCCAAGTCACAAAGTCAAGCAGTTACAAAACACCCACATTTAGAACTATGAAAGGAATACTTTTATGTGGTCTGGATGTTTGAGGTGGGGTTTTTTGCTGTTTGTTTTGGGTTTGTTTGTTTTTTCATTGTTATTTTAGTTTTTCTTTTTTTTTTTTTTTCTCTTTTGTTGGTTTATTGGTATATTTTTCCTTAGTGAGTTTGTTGCTGTGAAAGACGCTGCACGACCGTCCTAGGAAACAAACCCTTCAGATCTTTCACAGAGTCTGCAGTGAGCATCCCCATCAATACTTAAAAGTCAAGCGCTCTTTCCCTCTTTACTCCACAACTCAACTTTAACCTGAAGAGATATAGCTCTTTTAACTGTTGCCACAGTCATGTTTACCAGCTCCTGCCTATAAACAACCACCTAAAATTCACTTCTTTTCCTGTCTGTACCACTGGAAAAGCTGTCTGGCAGTTTTCAAGATCATCTCTTTTTGAACTGCTGTATTACTTATAACAGATTCAGTTAACATCATTTAAATTATTCAAACCCTAATATTTTTGTGGATTTTGCAAACCAGATGACAGCAGCTTTTGTCCTGGCATAGAACAGAATCAGATAAGACTTGTACTGGCTGAACTAAAACTGGCGATACAGCCATGAAAAAATGTAACAGGCAACACGTTCACTTTATCTGCATTTCAAAACCTGGAAAGATAAAATTACAAACTAATTTGAAAGTGACTAGCTTTTGAAACCCACCAAACGATACAGAGATTTCTTGACTCATCCAAAAATTCAATAACAAGCCCTGTCCTCCCACTCCCCCTTCCCTTCCCACAGAGAAAAAGAGCAAAAAGCCCTTACTTACAAGTTGTCTCATCCTGAAGCAGGTGCATCAGTAAGCAGAGGATGGAAAGCATGATCCTTCTCATGCTTAGGAGAGCAGCTCCATGACTGAAAAGCACCTCTCTTCCTCTTGGGCATGTCCTATGAGGAAGTAATTGTTAAGCACTCCAGAGTTCCCCTTATTTTCAGTGGTTTCCAAATTCCCCGGTTTGGCTTTGGTTTAATTTAGCTGCAAAACATATGAGTAGCTCTAAATTAAACATGAGCAATTGTTCTTTCTTGGCAGCTGTGGTCATGCAGGGTTTGGAACTAATTATGAACCAAGCCATTATGAAAAAGATCCCTTTTTTAAGACACTAATTCCCACATGATGTCTGCCAATATTTCTTTACCCCATAAATTTGTCACTGAAGCTTTCTTGCTCACCATGCTAAGATTTTTAATATTTAAAAAATTTAATTAATTAATTAATTAATTCTTTTCAGCTCACTAGTTGCTCAGAGCTGAAGAACACAAGAAATTTTGCTCCAAAGATATAAAAGACCTACCCATGGGATGTGCTTTGGGTTTGATGGACTGCCTCTGGGCCAAAAGCAAGAGCTGGAGTTTGCAGGTGTGCTGGTGGCAGGACATCATCTAGGGCACTGTCACTGGAGGAATGAGGGGCTCTGAAATCACTTCAGGCTGTTGGGCAGCACATGCTGGCATCATCCCATGCTGGCTGCAGGGGAGATGCTGGGATGCTGGGGAAGTTGCAGGACTGACAGCCTCCAGACTGGGATTAGGAAGATAAGCCCAGCCCATAGGGCAAAGTGCCACTCTGGGTTGGACTTTCAGACTGCTCGGAATCATATGCCCCAACTGGTGCAGGTGTGCTGCAACACTGCCTGCACAAATATTTCCATTTGTCAGTGTGTGTTATCCTCTGCATCCTGCCTGCCCAATATGTCCATCCCTACAAGCCTGACCCCAGGGCTGGTATGCTGGGGCTCTCCGGTGAAAAAAATCTCACTTTGTTCTTGCAAATGCTTTAATGCCACGTGCATGTCTGCCTGGTGGGACATGAGTTTTGTGCTCCTGGGAAGTGTGGAAAGCTCAGACAATTCTGAGCTGGTGGTGAACACCGTGCTACTGCCTAGGCTTGCCCCTCACTCTTCCCTCCCCGAAAGTTCCCCCATGCTGACACCCACTGGTACTTCACTGCTCACGCACTAGTGCAACTAAGCAAAAGTCAGGATGCTTTCTCTCTTTGCAAACTCATGATGATAAGCAAGAGGAGAAAAATGCTAATTTTGTAAGACTTAGCACAGCCCTGTGTAACAGCTCTCACAAAAGGAGTAATTAATGGATGTGAAGACTACCTGTCTACTAACAAATAATTGTCATTAAATCATCTTTACTCTGGGAAAACATGGAAACAGAAGACTTGTCAGGTCAAAACAAGTGCAAGCTCTGGTTCAAATTAACTTATTTAAAGGCCACTAGTTATATTGAACAAACTGAACAACATCTAGTCAAGAAGCTGATTTTGGTCAGATAGATAGGCACAGGGTCTCAGTTTGGCTGATCACCTATATCTCATTGTACTAGCACCAAACCTGCCCCATATATAGTAAAATGCTAACTGTGTACCTTTGAATAATGAATTAGTCAAACCAATTAAGGGAATTAAAGAACTGAGAAAAATTAATTAAAAAACCCTTACCAAAATGCAGGCAGAAGTCAGAAATTCTATCTCCGGCTGCAGATTTTTTATATATCCATTTCCCAATGGAAATGGATAGATTAAAAAAAAACCAACAAACAAACAAAAAAAAAACAAACAAAAACCAAAACTTTAAATAGTTTATTTACTTCAAATAAAGTTCCCCACACCAAACTCAGTTTTTCGTCATGTTATATGAGCTCAAGTACGGGAATAGGGAACTTTTACAAACCAATCACTAGACTGAAAAGTCATCAGTGTTTAGTCACAGGTCATGAATTTGTTTACTTGAATTGTACACACCTTCCCATATCCCAAGAAGCAGCCCATTGCCAGGAGATGAAGTGTGGACCTTTGTCAAAGTTCCTTTTGATGGTGGTTCCTCCTAGGAAAGCAGAGCCGAGGGCCAGCCTGCGGGCACCAGTGCCTTTTGCTCGGAAAAGGCTGCTGTGCGATGTGGTGAGACGGGGCAAGAAATGCCTGTCACATGGGTGCTGGAAAACACCCAGGGTTTCCTGCACACCGCGCTCCGAGTGTTTCATCCGCAGCTAAGCTCGGCGCTCCGCAGTAATCTCTAACTCTTCACATACTTTCTGCCGTCATTGAAACAGCCGCTGTTGCAATAGCAGGCTGTTAGCACCTGTGCTACTCATTGGCCTCAGTCATTTATGTGATAAAAATCACCACAGTCACAAGGACCAGCTGCACACACACACACACACATGCAGACATGTACATGCATGTATACATATATAGTGCATGTACAGTGCATATATAGTGTATAGAGCGCATTTCAAAATGTAAACTATTGAGGAACACAGGATGATGCACACTGCAGTGCTATTTAAAATATGAGAACTCCTATAAACAATATTAAGGGTACTCTGAACAGTACTTCATGAAGAAATGGAAAGTTGAAATGTATTACTTAGCCCAGCAGGATCCACATAAGTAGTTATGCTACTAGCTCATCCTAGCTTACACTGCAGCATCTTTCTGATCCAAACCACTGTGAAACAGCAGAACTGATATTTTTGTGACCCAACATAGAAAACCATGGGTATGAGAATTTTTTCCATTGCTAGAATAGAAACCTATCTGAATGCTGTGTAAACAGCTTGCTTTCTCTTGAAGACGGATTATTGCTACACACAGGTAAAAGTCAAGTATTTCTGCTGAAAGCTGCTTGACTCATTTCATTTGAAAGGACCACCTCCTTGTTACTTTTTTTTTTCTTTTGCCCTTGAAAGCCTTGTTTCCCATACATAAAAGGGGAAAATGTAACCCTGAAACTGCTACTGTAGCACCACCTTTGAATTTTCAGATGGAGTCTGATATTTGCAGTGGATGTGAGGGTCAGTTTTGCTTACATGCCTGGATGAGGATGTGGGAGGATGAAGAAAGCATACCCAAAGCATACAGAGAATACTTCCAGTACCTGCCAGAGGCAAGGCAATTCTCTCTCATGTGTGGCATTTCACACAAAAATAAAAAATGTGAGTGGTTCCTGTTACTCTGGACCTAAAGACAATTCGCAGTTTTCAGTCTTTTCTAAACAGCCAGTGTGGACTCAGAGGAAAACCTGTCTTGGAAGGGGACTCTGAGGTCATCCCATCCAGCCTCAGCACAGGGATAGTGACAATTTTATCCCACAGTAAACCGCCTTTAACATGAATTTCCTCCTGCATATCCTAGTGGGATTCCTCTGCTGCAATTTATGACAGATGCTTTTTTGTGCTTTTATTGTGCTTTTAATTCAGATAAAAGTCTGCCATTTCTGCAAATGCTACAGTTTGCTATAGTTGCAATTAGATTTCTCCCAAGTGCCACCTCTCCTGGCTGAAGGGATCCAGTTCCCTCAGCTTCTTCTGGTGTGTCATGTGCAGTGGGACAGCCCTTCACCAGCTCAGTGGGGACTGGGAAAGTGAATCACTACACTGCACACAAAAATTAAAATGAAAGCAAAGAAAACCCCTATAGTCAGGCAGGAGGGACTTTGGATTTTTCTTCCCTGCTCTGTAGGGAAGAGACATTGCATCACACGAGTTCTTACTGAGAAGTTTCTGAGGAAGCAACGCAGACTTTCACTGCACAGTGAGTGCCTTCCCTGCTTCCCGCACACTGACTTCATCTCTCACTGTTAAAGAGCTTGGGTCAACATTTTAAAGATTGCAGTTGGAAATTCCATCTGCATCTACATAGGGAGACTTTTGACCATATCAAACATGAAGATCTCCTGAAGGCTCAAAAGTAGCAAGTCATCATTTGCACATGCAGTATTTATTTAACAATATGCAACACACTGATGTGACCGGGAAGTTAGTAACCAACACTAACATTCATTAGGAACTGAAATTAATACCAAGCC